CATATCCTCCTAGGACATCAGCCATACCCCCTTCTCCTCCGGTTAAATCGACAGTACCTTCTTCTCCTCTCACAACTTCAGCAGTAACTCTTTCTCCACCTGCATCATCAGCAGCACTCCTTTCTTCACCTACTACTTTGCCAGCACTGCCTTCTCCACCTGAGACATCAGCGGTACCAAACTCAGAGCTTCACCCATCACCACTGGATCAGCTGGATGAGCCTATGGAGTGTAATGCCTCAGTAGTAGATCAAGATCATTGTTACACACTTTCATTCCCAGTTTCTCACCATTCCCCTTTAGTTTCACCAGAGACCAGCAATATCCTCTCAGCATCACAACCAGAGGCTTCTAGCACAGATGCCTGTTCACCTGATGCATCATTTGAGGCTGGTACAGGATCTGACAACACAATGAAGCTGCCATCTTATGGTGTCAGAAGTTTAAAGGTAGCACGGTGCCCTCACTGCTCGCTTCGTCTTTACAAGAAAAACCTCAGTGCCCATATACAGAGGAAGCACGCAGGGCTAAAGGATATTACTGCTGCTTCACATCTAAAAAATGTATGTGTTGATGAAACTCGTGGAATATTTGCTGTCCAGAAAGTTGCTCATGGATTCTCTGTGCCAATACACGTTCAGCGTAAAACATGGGGAAGTCATCACCAAATAAGGTGTGGTTTGGAGGAATGTCACAAGTATCAGTTGCTTGCACTGCAGAGCGGGCTAATTTATAGTCTGTGTGAGCACATTCGATCACTGGATTACTGCAGCCAGATTGCTCCTGAGGAGTTGCTAAACGTAGAGGTTCTTGAGGATTTGGTGTCTCTGCATATTGTTGAAGAATCAATGATGGCAACTTGCAGTTTAAGGCAGAAAGCGGCAGAGAAAGACCATGTGCCTTTTTCTGTGTTAGTGGATTTGGGAGGTTCGACACATCAACTTTGTTTCTCTGTTCATGAGCCCAAAATGCGTAGTTTCTCCTGCTTTGGCAGAGTTGTTGTCACTTATAATTTGATAAAAGACTCCTGGCACTGCCCCTGCACAAATCCTCATAAATCATGCCCACACAAGAGCATCGGTAAATGGCACTTATTCCAAATCAGGAAAGATCTCCTGCCTGCACCAGCTCAAGAGATATCTCATTCTGACTTTCAGTATTCTGCCACTGAGCTGGAGAGAAGTGTGAGATACACTTACGCAGAGAAGAAAATACCAGCAGCTCTTCCAGCAGCCTCCACAGCTCCAAGAGCTCTTACAAATTATCCTGTATGTTTGATTCCTACTGAAGAAACATGCAAGCTCTGTGCAGGCCATCCCAGACTAGAAGAAGGCTTTCTCATTACAGACAAAGCTGCAATAGTTGGCATGAGTGGCGTCAAACACAGTAAGTAAAATACATTCTTTACTGACCACACACTGCTGATTTGATGTCTTAATTTTATTCTCCTATGTGCTGCAGACATCTCAACATATAATAAAAGATGCCCCAAATGCCACATGCACTACCGGTACCAGGAGTGGCGAGATGGTCTCCATAACTTCAATGACCATGTCATTCTGACTATAGAGCTTTGTGTCTATATGCGGCACAGTCTGCAGGTGTGTTTAGAGCAATGTGGGACTCCAGAAATGAGTGTAATTAAAAAGCATACAGAAGGAATACAGTGTAATTGTCAAAGGAACTAATCAATTATGCAGATGCTTATTGTCAAACTGCACATTTTTATTTTATATTTTTTTTTATCCTTTTTAACAGAGCCATGTGTCAGTGTCCAGAGTGATCAGTTCTTTGGCGAGTTTTCGGGGCCAAAAGTTTCCAGCAGTCAGCATCATTTTCCAGGCATATTGTCACTTTGAGGCACTGACCAAAGCAGAGTACAGTTACTCCTGTGTAAACTGTGGCCACTTCCCAGCTGTTGTTATTATGGACCTTCACAGAAACAGTCTCTCCAAACTGGAGGGTAAGTTTTAAGAGAAACTGAATCTAAAAAGTTAAAATCAAAATTTTTATTCAAGTGATTGTTTTCTGTACAACTTATCTGTAAATATAGTGAGTGAGCTGAAAAAACTCCCTGAAGACTTTGATGGCCATCACGACATAGAGGACTTCTGGGACTCTGTTCATCTGGAAATGATTAGCCAAGGCTTTTTTCCCAGTATGTACTGGATGTCTGTTTATACAGATCATTCTTTAATCAACAGTGAATCATAGTCAGGTCACAAATTCATACCATGCAGTCCTGCCACATGCCTTCAGAATACAGTAATGTAGACAATGTCAGAACTATATTGTGCTGCAGGAGATTGAATATTATTTTCCAACTATTTCAGATTGTTGAACTGTATAAAGTAGATCTTACTATTGTACTGATTGTTCTATTTTAATAACTTCATAATTTTAAATAAAACTGACTTGTGTATAGTTGGATAACAGATTGTTACCTTCAATGAATATGTTTGTTTTCCCTTTTTTTCAAATTTTGCATCATTAATGATGAGCATGATCTTGTTCCTAACGTTTTATAGGATCCTCACCAAATCCATTTGTGGTTTGTTCATGTTACGAACACTGGGCTCCTTGGATTGGGAAGGAAACCCGTAAAAGCGACAATGTCCTCAACACTGAATTCAGCAAGATGCCAACATCCAAAACAGAAGGAGAGCTGAGCAGTGTAACTGCAGACCGTCTTTGTGACGAGTTACTGAATCAAAAGGTAGGTTCTTTAATCGGGCCTCATTTATTTGGTCTAAGATGTGTGATTTCTGAAGCTAGACAAACTACAGCAAACTCTCTGAATGAATTAAAAGTGGGTGTTTGCTTTATGTTATTGAAATTTAATTAGATGAAGTGCTAAAATATTGTCAAAAAATACCTACAGTTCCACTCACTCATAGGGAACAGGAAAGGAAACAGACTTTTTTTTTTTAGGGAAGTGTTGAGCTGTACTCAGATTGTGAGCACATTTACCCTTTTGCATAGCTCATGGTCTCAGAGATATTACACCAAAAGCTTTGCTAAGTAAAAGTAAGTAGGTAAAATAATCACTTCTTGGATTTTTATTCAACATCCCTCCAGGAAGCAACTCTTCAAAGTCTGTGCAAAAGTTGCGGTGTTGAAACAGGTGGTTCTCGTACAGATCTGATAATCCGGCTGAGGGAGAAACTGATGAATCAACAAACCTATTTCAGCGTGTATCAGACTATTTGGGGTGGCTCTGGTAAGTATGAATTAGATGTGACTGTGAAAATCATGAGTAATAGGCAGAAAAAAACCCCACAAGATTTTTTTTTTCCTCTACAGGTGGATGGTCAGTAATTGCTTGCCCCCATGGCATTGTTTATAGCCTGAAATTCAACCTGCAGACAGAAAGTCCAAGAGATTTCGCTGACCTTCTCTTGTCATGGAAACATTTCCCAAATGTCTGCCTGTATGACTCTGCGCATGGTTTGGCAACACACACAAATTCACGAGTTCCTGGCAGCCCCCTGTTTCACCCACATGAAGGAAAACCAGCGCCCTCAACAATGGAGAACTTAGCTAAAGCTGGTTGTCAAGAATTAAAAGTGCCCCTGCCGTGGCTCAAAGAAAAACGTGAGCCATCAGGTGATGATGGGCACCCAGTGACTGGATCAAGCCACCATTATGCACTTCATGACAAACTGCATCACAGTAACTTAAAAGACCCATATGATGTGTTGCGAAGGGCTGATATTGTGCCTGAACTTCAGGACCTTGTAAAAACGAAGGCAGTAAAACACCTGTTTGCTGACATGAGGAAAAACAATTATTTCCTCAACAGCATGGCGCCCTCCACACACGTGTTCCTGATGAGGAACTTGATCGAACACAGGAACATGTTTTGTAACACACAGCTTCTGGAAACTTAGTTCACCAGTTCCAGCGTGTGAACCTCACCGCTGAGCTTAACATGGACCAAATGCCATAGATCACAGGTTTTTAGCTGCTCATTTGGTGTATTACTGAGTGTTTATGGCAGCAAGATGGTGTATGTGAGTTTGACTCAATTGTCAGCCCAAAATAATTTATAATATAATTGATATGGAATAAACCAAATAATATAGATTGAATTGTGGGACAAGCTGAGTAGTCTGACTACAGGGAAGGCTGAAGTTGGATGTAGTTATGGTTTATGGATGTATTTATGTTCTTATTGAAGGGTAATATCATGGGTACACAAATCACAACATATAGTGCAATTATCAGTGCAAAAATTCTTTACAATTTAAACTGGCTTTGCACTGTGTCCAGTAGATAACATGTATGTACAGTTGAGTGCAAAAGTTTGCATCCCCTTACTTTAAAATGGCAAAAAGAGTAAAACAATTTTTTTTCCTCATCAACATAATATGTAGTGCACATTCAGCTAGTACAGCTGTTCCTTCGAAACTGCCTAGGAAGAGAGAAACACCATTCCCACAGTCAAGCATGGTGGAGGCTCGCTGATGTTTTGGGGATGATGTTTTGTTTCTGTCCCAATTGCCCCATGGGACAGTGTTTTTTTTTTTGTTTTTTTTGTTTTTTTAAACAAGCAGCACATTTTTTTATTTATTGCAGATGTTCTTGGTCAAAGGCCAGAGGAACCATGACCTGCTCAGCTATTTATCCAAGGCTAGATTTGTTACAGTTAACATTAAGTCTCAGAGGTGCATTATGGGGGGAAGGTGAAGTCTTTATTCCCCATAGATACACGTAGGTGTTTCCTCTTACCTTAGTCTGTGTCAACCTTAAACTTAACCCTAGCCAGTCATGTCTAATGACCTGACCCCAGCCTTACCCTACCTCTCCCTGCTCCTGATCTAATGTTTGTGTTATGTGCATGCAAGACAATTACACATATATACGTACAATAACTCACAGGCACCAAAGTTTTTGGATTTTATTTTAAATTGTATTCATTACCCTTGTTCCTGCACAAGAAAAGTACTTTGAAATCAAAAACATAATCATGTTTTGAGATGAGATTACAGATAGAGGCATTGCACAGAGGAAGTTTGATATCTATTTTGATTCTCAGCAGTGATGAATACAGTGTTCCAAACAAACTGCAATTTCCCAACAATTTCCATACATAGCACATCAGATGTACATCACACCAAATTTCACAGATTCCACTTTTCAAGCTACAGTGTGAATAAGATTAGATATTTCTTTTAATGTACAAAAAATCCAAGATGAGCAAACCTGAAGTCATGTTTGAATTACATGGTGAAGAGCAGAAAACCACTGAAGGTGTTGTACTTCATACCATCATCATAGACCAGCCTGTTTTCTGAGAGCCGTACATACACATTGTCTCCCACCTCTAGGGGAATGACCACAGCGTTGCTGCCCATGTCATTGCTGTCAGTCCCTGAGGTGTCCCACACAGATGTCAGTAGTACGTCATTCTTCATGAGGCTCACAACAGAGTTTGGAACTGGACTGAGGTTGTTGAACATTGAGAATCGAAAGAAGTACATGCCTTTGACCATTGCTGTGAAAATACCTGCCAAAATAAGGAGAATGGTTAAATTTCACAAGTTGTCATTTGTTTTTCCTCTTTCTCGCTGCTATACACTACCTGTTGCAGGATTGTAGCCATTCCCAGTGTTTGAGAAGACCATCTTATACTGCAGTGGGGTAGAAGTAGAGAAGGGTCCAGTGTTTCCACTGCCAGATTCTCTGAGAGCTGCAGAAAAGGCCACCTGAGGCGTGCCTGAGAGCATCAAATTACCACAAATACATAAGAGATAAGAATTTATACTCTGAGTAGTTACTTTGCAGAGGAGGGATAGTGGTTATATTGGTAGAAGGATGTTGGAGATGGAGCTGCCAGGCAAGAGGTCAAGAGGAAGACCAAAGAGGAGATATATGGATGTGCTAAAAGAGGACATGCAGTTAATTGGTGTGAGAGTAGAGGATGCTGAGGATAAAGTTAGGTGGAAACAGATGATTAGCTGTGGCGACCCCTAATGGGAACAGCCGGAAGAAGAAGAAGAAATGTGGACCAGATGAAATGTGGTGCTCTTTGGTCCACACCTGGACCATGTGGCCCAGAGGGAACAAAGTGAACAGAGGTTCATCACCTCTGAAATGGTTCAGTTTGTTAATCACGTTCAGCATTTTAAGTATCCCAATATTGCATCCCATACACACATCTGCTACATGTTACCTGCAGTAAGGCTGCGCAGCTCCAGGACTTGATTCTCAGTCTTTAGCAACTTATCCTCCAGGAGCGTTAGTTTTTCTGCCATAGTTGAAATTTTCTGTCCCATTTCTGCCAGGTTTTGGGCTATGGAAGTGAGGGAGTAGATTTCACAGCAACTGGTTGATCCTGAGCACTGATGGGCTTTGGCATTGTTTCCATTATCTTGCACTTCACACCAACAGCAGCTGAGTGCAAGAACCAGGATTGCGATCTTCTTCATCCTTGTGTCTTTGAAATCTCTGTCTGTATGGAGTCTTTTTCTGCCCTCCTGCCCTCTTTTATACTTCACTGTTGTGACACCCATTTCATTAATCAGTTTGCTCTTTTTATTGAGGTCTTGAGAAAGTTGGGAAAACACAAATGTCAAGTAAATGATTAATGATACATCTTGTTAATGTGTAGTAAGGCATTTTGAGTCACTTACAGACACATGCTGTACTTGAGAAATCGTTTCACTCTTTTCCTTTGGGCTGCCTGTTTCACAGCCAAGCATAATGAAAATGTAAACTGCAGGATGAAAACAAAGGTGTTTAGGGGTGAGCAGTGTTAATTTTCTCTAAAAATAAACTGAAGATAAATATTTTTAGCATTCAGTGCCCTAAAAGTATTTCATACATTCTGCATTATTTTGAGCTATATTGATAAGTACTGTTAACAGATTTTATTTCATCTTTTGAGAATTAAACATTATGCTCTCTGTGGGTATTATCTAATAAGTAATTTCAATAATATTAAAGACGTCACTGATTTACTACAAAAAATAAAATAAACAATTGCAAATTAAAACACAGATGACTTTACCTCCATTAACCTACATTACATTAGATGTCACACATAGTTTATATTATGAAATAACACTGGCTGCTATTTGTAACTCTTTGGTCTGTATTAGCAAATCAGGTTTCAGTTTTTCGCAATGATTGTAGCAAAAGCAATTGATCTTATACTTTCAGATTGTACTGTGGTTAAATGGTCACATGCTGTTTGCAATATAAAACCAGTACATGGTCCTTTAAGGTTGCTCAACATGAAAACACACTGTCACCTACTAGGAAAACACTGGACGAGATAAAGCTCTTAGCCCTTTCAGAGGTTTCAGCACTGAACAGGAGTCACTTGTCTGTACACAGATTTCTTCAAAGAATTTTCCAAAGACAACATTTGTGTCCAACATGATAATTTGAAATCATGTGTTTATTGTACACCTAAAATACAGTACAACATACTGTACAAGAGTATAAATTACCTTAAAAATTACTATTTGTAAGAATGTTATGTGTATGTCAAATGAAGAATAACACAAGTGAGTGCAAAAAAAATCTAGTCTCCTGCGTAAGACAACACTTGATGATAGGTAAGAGCACCAGTTGTCACGCTCCTGCCCCTCTTGCTTCCTGTCATGCTTTTATTTTCACATTACTTCCTGTTTTGTTTCACCTTAGTTTTGGCCTTTTTACTTAATCATCATTAGTTCACCTGCTCCTTATTGTTTGCACCTGTTTTTACTTCTATTTAGGCAGCGTCCTCCCACCAGGAAGCTGCCAGATTGTTCTAGACCCCAGCTATGACTCTCCAGTATTTATTCCTTGCCTGACTCTCTGTTTCTGACCTTGGATTGCTATTTTTGATCACCGTGTTTTTGCCTATGCCCTTCCAGATTCTGATCGCCTGCAGTGTACCGACCTTCTGATTTAGTCCCCTTTGACCTCTCGAGTTTGGATCTCCTGGCTATACCTGTTTACCGGCGCCGACCCTGGACTGTCTTATCGACCTGATTGTGATCCTGGACTTTGTGTTGGTCGTTTTGGTTACAACAAGTAATGAACTTTTCTCTACCTCGGTTCGTCTGGTTTTATAATTGAGTTCACCACAACCTCTGTTTGGCATCTATACACACCAATCCTGACACCAGTATGGCAGAGTTTGGACAAAGGTCAAAGGTCTAGGTAGATGCGGATGAAGAGGACGTCAAAGGGGTCTCCTCACTTTGCTTCCTGTAAAGTCTCATCGCCCATAATTCACTGACCATCTTCTTGACCACTTTGTCAAAGAACAGGCCGACCAGCTGAGAGTGCAGAAGCGACTTGAACCCATATGACACCTGCAGAGGACAGAGGAGGGTGAAATATTAGAAAATGATTTGTGACACTTTGCTGATTCATTTGTGACTAAAATGTCTTGCATACCTCTGCCAGGTCTGTGTTTACTTATTTAAAAATGCATTTATCTAATATTTAAAAACAGATCATTACCACAATCAAGACCCTAGGATCTTTGGCTGAGTTAAGTTTATTTATTTTTTTTAGATTTTCTTTCTTTAAATGTTTGTTGATTGCTCCTGTAGTATCTCTTGTGCTCACAAAACCTTCTACTAACATCCAGCCACTTCCTGTTGAACCCTGAGACAAACTCAGCCAGCATTAAGGTCAAAATCCTGTCAGCAGCTCTTTAAAACTGTTCCATAACCTGAATTATATCAGGCCTGACAGCTATTTCAGGAACATCAGTATGCTCAAGACTTAATTTAAAGCTTAATGAGCTTTTACTCTACGATTCCTTTTAGTGTATATAATCCATTTAGAATGGCACTGGAGTGAAGACTTGGAATCAGTTTCTCCAAGTGTGCAATTTGATCCGTCAAGTCCCTCGAGCAAGGTATTCTTCTGTGGTTTGTTAATTTCATAGATTCACTGACACCACAATTCTCTTCATTATTTACTTTAATATATTTTCATTGCAGAATTCTACTATTTCCCATCTCTCCTAATGTCATCTTATTATGGGTGCTGCATAGATCTGATTTCCCCATGGCTCTCAGCATCAGAGGTTCATTTGAGCTTATAAACTTACATAGAAATCAACTATGCAGGGCTCATGCAGGTCTTTGGTTCCGGGGGTAAATCGCCATATTTCTTCAAGATGGCTGAAGAGAGATCCATCAGTACACAAGGCCTGTACAATAAAAAAGACCCCTTTTTAAAAACCAGTGTCTACCAGGTCAATGCAAAGAGAGCTGTTGAAGGAGCACAGACTTTAGAATCAAGTCATCTGGTGATGCACATTGACAGTCTACTCAATCGTGCATGATGAAGAAATAATAATAAAAGATACAAATAGTACTACAACTGAGTTATGCTAATGTGAAACAAAGTTGCAGTTCCCCTATCTGCCCCATGCTCTTAAAAAATCTTCTACTCTACTTGTGTCAGTAAGAAAGTGCCTCAACCTCTCCTCTAGTAACAGAGCCAGAGAGAGAAAGTTCACTTTAATGTGTGCCAAAATGGTACAAATGTTTCAGGGGATAACGGTCTTCTTTTGTAACACACTGGATATTGTGTCTCATATTCTAGTATACTCCATCCTGTGAATGCTGATGGGAGTGGCCAGGTTGGTGAAGCTGCGGCTGGGTACGCTGACAGGGAACAGCGGCAGGCTGGGCCTCCTGACTGCCAGGGCCACAAATGATCCCAAGTATCTGAAATTTACTGGTATTTTAGTGAATGCAAATAAAGAACCATACTATGAAGAAGTCAGAGGCACCAAGATTCAAACCACCAACCCTCCGGTTGGGAGATGACCGCTCTACCCACTGAACCACAGTCACCCCTGTAAAGTTTTATGATTTAATCACTGAGAGTATTTGAGAGTTAGGTTCAATTGATTTTGTGCAGTTTCAAAGAGTTGACTATTGTGGTTGAGCTAGTGAGCAGTGAGTTCAGCAAACACACTGTACAAGACACATCTGGACTTTAGTGCTAGAATAAAGGTCATCATCTACACTCGCATTAACACAACAGCATTCTAATACACAGAATTTTATGCAGTTCAGTGTTTCAAAAGCCAAACTGATGCAATTAATTATTCTTACTAATTTACTTATAACTAACTAGAAGGAATTTAGACATTTTCCATAGATTGTAAATTACTTTATAGATTTTAATTGGCATCTTTTTCTACTGAAACCAAAGATTACTATAGGGCACTAATGCAAACATCTTTTTCTTATTATTGTTATAAGGACACTAGCCAAGTTGCAGCTTCAAGACTTCACAAACCATTAATAGATTGAAGAAGTCACCTACACTACATGCTCAGTTCACTTGGGTTTTGACAGACGTACTGTATTAATAAGATAGATAATCCTTTATTGTCATTGGAGCACGTACAATGAAATTTTAGAGTGACCTTCACCTTCATTTAACCCGGCAACGAACTGTGTGTCTAAATTTAAAATGTGTTTCTCAATGTACAAAACATATTATGTTGCTTTTCTAAAGCAAGTCTGAGGATTCCTGTTAGATTTCAAGGATTAAAAGACAACAACATGTGATCACCCCCAATAGGAATAAGGTCATGGGACCACAGGACGCAGAGAGAATTCACATCTAGGTGGAAGGACCTTTTCAGATGAACCCACATTTCCTGATTGTCAGGTAGTTTCAAATAGATTTTGACACTACATTAAATACATGTGAAATACACCTGGTGACACTTTACCTCTTACAGTGGTCACAAAAACCTGAACACCTGTATAGTGTCTGCAATAAGTGTATAAGGGAAATTATTCAACTTGTTTTTGTTCATTTCTAACTTTTTATTCATTTAGGTGATTACACATTTTATTTTTCTGCATTGTTTGAGCTTGATTGTTTTTCATTTCATGCTTTTCTTTGTCCCTTACTAGCCAAATTTTTAATAAGGAATGTAACTTTTCATAAGTGACATACAAAAGTACAGTGGATGCATGAAGTCACTAACAAAACTGGACTTACTGCCTTTTCCAGCTGCACAACAACAGTGAGTCAGAGTAAACTTTATTCCAGAAATCAATTGTGAAAGACCAAATAAAGTACACACAAAGTAAAAGAAGAACAAGTCTGAACACAAAGCAGTGGCTTGGCTCAAAACAAGGCCTGTGCAAGAGTGGCAGTTATTGTTCCTCAGCCGAGAAAATGAGTTCGCTCATAGCACGGATGCACTGAGAGCCATCTGGCTCAGTGAATTTCAGCTGGGTGAGAGGTGGCATGACACCACTGGTGAAGTATCTGAATGCAGGGCTGGGTGACTGGATGGCTTCTAGAAATACCTTGGAGACAAAAACCAACACACCACACTGCTAATATCTGCAGAAATGCTCTTATATTGATACACTGATTTGTTGTATACTACTAAAAACAACTGGCAGCACTGGCAAACATTTTAAACCCTCCAACTGCTTAAAATTATTTTCAAAAATGAACTTTTATAACAGGCATCATTAATAAACATAACTAATGAAATTGTGTCCCCATACCTTTACAATATCTTCAGTGTCCTGTGCTGCATTTTGGAAAATGGAGCCACAGTGCTGCAGGTACTTTTCATAAAGACTGAGTGTGTGGGTATCAACCTGTTGGAGAGACGTATCCCCAAGCTCCACCTTTTGCAGGTTGACCAGGAAATCAGTGTTGACTGGACCGCACTCAATGAGACTCACACTGTAGGAAGAAGCATCGAGTTAGTAGTCTACATTAATCAATATTCACTGTTAAGGGATTTTTATACACTGGACAGGCTCTAAATTATGGGGATAGGATGTGGCAACTCACTGAATATTGAAGTGTTGCAGGAGAACAGCCAAACTCTCACATGCACCTTCTATTGCAAATTTACTGGCACAGTACACCTCATTAAAAGGGAAACCTGTGAGACAGCATGATGGTTTATTTTGACAATGGCAGCATGGCAGCAAGCCTCAACACGCTTTCTATCACATCACTACAAAACTTAACATGTGACATTCAGTGACTCCTCCACTATTTGCTCGTCTCACCCTGAAGCCCTCCGATGCTGCCGGTGACCAGAATGCGGCCCTGTCTCTGAGCCTTCATGTCTGGCAGAAAAGCCTGGATGGTCTGGATGGTACCCAGGAGGTTGACCTCCAGAATCTGCCTCATCGAGTCCAAAGCCTGCACCTCCAGAGGCCCCATCAAGCCAACGCCAGCATTACACACTGTGAGTAGTTAGTGTAAGACCATTAACACACACACACACACACAAACACATTACAACCCTAATCAGAACACACTGACATGTGAGCGTACCCAGAATGTCCACTCGTTTCTCCACAACCCTGTCCCTCACATCCAGGATAGACTGCTGGTCTGTCACGTCCATTTGCAGGATGTCTAAAGTGTCTTTATGCAGGCCTTTCACACATTCTAAAAGACGTTCTTTCTTGGCCAGGTTTCTCATTGTGGCATAGACTAAACAAAGAACAGTGCTTAGTGGCATGTTTTGATACAGGAATACACTAAAACAAAAGTTAAAGTGAATGGTTTTTACTTTTATTTATATATGAAGGAATATCTCTGATTGCACAGTGAAATAATTTGTTTAATATTTCATACAACTAAGAACATTTACTCGAGTACTATACTGAAGGACAGTTTTGAGGTATCTGTACTTTACTTATATATTTCACCATCACATTTCAGAGAAAAACACTGTACTTTGTTATCACTACATTTAAATGATAACTTCAATTACTAGTTCCTTTTCAAAATCGGATGAATAAAACAAAAAACCTACTGTAAGACTTTATTAATCCTTGGCATAAAATTCACAAACAACAATCAGTACATAAAGTACATCAAATTATAAGTATATAAGGTAGTTAACTAATACTAGTAGTTACTAATACGTTTGTACTTTTACTTAAGCAACAGTTTTAATGCAGGACGTTTAATTGTAACAGTGTTTTTTTCACTGTGGTGTTTTACTTTTACTTAAGGAAACAATCAGAGTACCTCTGACACCTCTGCATGCAGTACATCCTTATATATTTTACAGTATGTCTGTGGGCCTAGAAGGTCCTTAACATCAAGGGTTCCTGAGCCAGCGCAAGCTCTTTAAGAAGACATGTTTGTCATGTAATGTAACAGAAAAAAAATCGGTCAGTGTCGGTTCTGCTTACCTTTGTATGTTTTGTCAGGGTCGGAGGCTAGCCGCACAGCCAGGCTGAGGCCGATCCCCGAGGAGCAGCCTGTGATCAGTACTACCTTCTTGTCCATGGAGCCCAGCTCACTAACGTTCTTTCACAGAGAGGAGCTGGAGTAAAGGGGAGATGACACCTGTGAAATGAGCCCAGCTGACAGTGAAAACTCTTTTCTGTGTTTGCATATCTTTTGCTACACCATCACTAGACTAGTTTATCTTAAATGTCTTCCTGTTATCAGCCACCTGGAATCCTCCCATTTGTTCTCATGTCCTTGACAGTTTAGTTTGATTTATTTTTTTCCACTGAGACATGTGGGAAACATTTGATGGGGGGGGGGCTTGTTTTTACTTTCAGTGACAATGTGTAGTGGAAATTAAATATTTTTTTGGAGGTGTGTGCAGTATATTTGCTTTGACCGCTGTGAAGCATAATGTCCTTTTTAAAAATAAAATTTAATTCAGCTTCTGAAAACAAAAGTGATAAGACAAACCAAACACTACTGTATGTTCTCTACCTGCTTATACTTGGAATTACACCACTCATGAGCACCAGGCGGCAGCAAAACATCAAAATATCAATCCTGTACCACACGATGGCTAAAGCCACAGTGACCTCTGAGTGATCCATGACCACGAGTCTGAGAATAGCCAGCAAAGAGAATTGTGGGTATGAGCTGAAGGGATCCGAGGGGAGAAATCAGCAGTGTGTTGTTTATGAAAACATTCTGATTCAGAGAACTTGAACTTTTTTCCCAGGCTTGTGTTGGGGGAAATTGTTACTTTAGGCATGTCTAACAGAGAGTTACCATTTGCCTGGTAGTTTTGTACAGACAGGCTACATAGCAATGCCCATAATGTTCTTTAAAGTTAGTAAGTGGACCTTTGGGCTGAAATTATTTTATGACACATACTCTTCCTGAGTTTATGCTTTAAGGACACCATCATGCACATGTGAGTGAGTTTCCACCAGGCGGTGATGGAATCTCAGGTACAGTCTGCATCTCACTGCTTGTTACAGATGTGTGTTCATTATGAAAATAACACCTTGATGCTATAAATTGTCACAAAACTCTTGACAATGTGCTGATTTAGATGGATTATTTATCCTTAAGAAATTCTACACAGAGTGTAGAACAGATCTATCTTGATATTGTAAACAAACATCACATATAGCCAATTATAAAGGCACACTGGTGTTGTACTTGTCTCCTTTCTGCTCATTTCTTCCTCTGTTTCACCTTATCACCTTGTTTCTACATTTAACTGCTTCCCATCACATGCACACTGCAGCTGAATTTCTGGTCAGTCAAAAGGACTTGAATCTTTATGCAGCATTTCAGCAGTCTGATTTGAAATGAGTTATTCTGATGGAATTTCCTGATATTTCTGTGTCCCACCCCTTGAGATGGCATCATCTTGGCTGCTATGTTGGAGTCTGTGGGGCAGGCAATAGCAGCCCTTCAATTTCTTTTAGTTTAAAAATGAACTAAGAGGAGCCCAAAGGTCAGAAATGTACACTGTCACTTTAAACAGTATGTACCAAATTACTTTCTTATTCAGAGACACATATAACAACGAGCATGGCATTCCATTTCAACAGTTTTATCTCAAAATCATGTACAGAAGTCATTTATTATTTTAAGACTGCTGAAATATGCTACACCTTAAATGTATGTCAGATTTTTAAGGGCTTGTCTTGCAAAGAATTAGCATGACTGCATATTGTTGGGTAATAATTTTAGGACAGGGGCCATGGCCCTCTCTGGCCACACCTCGCCCAGTAAACAATTATGAAGACTACATCTATTCAGGTAAAGAGCATGTCCAGATGTGTATGTCTGTGGGATTTTTGGGAGAAGCTTAAAGTTAACCTAACTCACGCTCAAGGGGGGAAGCGCATGAGATGTCACACTGTGACTGCAGTACAAACAGAAAAAGAGGTACTGCTTCCGCAGGAAAACTATAACAGCTCCCTGGTGTCAGTCCATTCATGTGCTCACCCTGTGGAGGATCAGGCTAAATGAGTCACATTGTGCTGTGTTATTTCAGGTCAGACATATGTTATAAGTGCATGGTTTAGACACCCTATGAGGTTTGTATGAGCACCGTGTGGCTGCACAGGCAGATGTGCTCGACAGGATGTCCCACGTGAAACTGATGAGCAGAAGTGAAACAGCTGAAGAAGTGGTGTGGTGGATGTGGCTAAGCTGAAATGTCACGCTATACCTGGCAACAAGTCAAATAAGGCAAATGTATTGAGGGCATTTTAGCTAAACTGAATTCTGCATCTGTTACCATTTTCTGAGACGTTTGCCTCACTGCTCAGGTAGAAGATAAACTAGGTCAATGCCCTTTGAAACTAGTGATATAGATGGATGTCAGCTATTCTCATGATCAGCTGATATGAGGTAGGGTTCTTCATCAGCCCATTAGGAGGAAAATGAAGAGGATCCCTTGAGGGTGTTGGTCTACTTGGAAACAGAGCCTCTATAAAATAAAATACACGATAACATGATCATATCTGGAGCAAAATCTGTCTTTTGCTGCAGGGATGCTGACAGAGAGTATAGCTGAACACAAGCTGTATGTCACATGTGCTGCTGAAGATAGTAGACAAATGAGTCAAAATTTCCAAGAAAATATACCTCACTGATTCCAACCAGAAGTGTCTGGGGGCAGTTTTGCAGTTGAAATTGTTAGTTTAGCTTAAAGTAAAAGAGAAGTGGTTGAAAAACATATAGCTAAAGGTAACCAATAACTGACAGACGAAAAGCAATGGATATACAGCTGAAACTGTAGCTGATGTACAGTTCATCATTCATCTGTCAGAGCGAACAAAGCACCGTCACACTTCTCAAAAGTCAATGGAAAACCTTTACATAAGTGCTGACAAATGAAGCAAATAACAATACAGTAGAGACAGTAGAGAGGCGTCTGAAGACTAATGTGACAGAAAACATATATTCTGACGGGTGTTTTTGTCTGGTGTGGTCTCCGTGCTAACTGGTTCATGCAAAATTCAAATGAGTTCCTCTGAGAGATTTTGTTTCATCGTGTAAAACCACTTGACTCCTTTGCTCTGGATTTTTTTGATTATTACTCTGATAATGCAGAGCTGCTGCCTGTGATCTTCCTCGTCTCTTCTCAATACACAGTGGATACAGTGAATCCATATTGTTCGCTTCAGTATGGCTCTAATAATTCAGCAATGTCTGCAGTCTCTCAGCTTTTATAATTACAAAATGTTTTGCCAGTAGACATGTTATTTCCGGTGTCTCACCACTGTCTCTTCTATTCCACTGTCATACATATGCATGGATATGCATGGAGCTCTGTGCTGTGTGGATTTCTAAAGTGAACTGTCAACGTTTGAGAGACGTTTTGTGCTGGTGTGTTGCAGTTGGACATAAATCATATGTTACAGGGATATGTGGAAAAACTAACCTACAGGACAAGTGGGACTGAAGTGAGAAAGTGAAAGAATTCCCTCCTCTGAGAATTTAACCAGGTTAATAAAAAGTCCAAACCTAGGAGCTATAACTTTCTATGCCAGCTTATAAACTGCCAACTGATAATAGAGTTGGCTCAGACGGATTGTTCTGTTATGTCTACCACAAAGTGTTTGACAAAAAGAGACCCTGAGAAATGCACAGTGCATTTTTCACAAGGTAATATAATGTAGCGGGAGTGCAGCTGGCTCCTTTCTGGTAAAATCATCATGGCTGAAACAGGAGAGGATGTGTGGAAAGTATGAACAGTTCTGAGCACTCATTCACTTTGCAGAGGCAGAATCAGCACATTTTCAATTTCTCATCTACAAAACTACATTTCTTCTAACAAATACTAATTTATAGCTAAAACTTTGTGGACTAAACCTACCTGTTATTTTTTAGAATTGCATATAAATGCAAGTTTAATTTTGAAGAAAGAGAAGAATGCAATCTGTCTGACTGCACTATTAATGAGAAAGCTGCAAGTCTATGTCATTGTGCTTGGTGAAAAATCAAATTATCAACATGTCAGGTAATAGAACATTACAATGTTGCTGTGAATCTAAGAGCAAACTCAAGGGGCGGTAGGGTTTCATATTTAATACAAGTATATTTTCCCAAAGAGTTTTTTTTGGTATATTATTCAGGATTTATATAGGCCTAGTGGACATGAGGCTTTACGTCAGCTGTAGCCCTCAGGGTCACTGCCTGACCTCCCGGTTTGGCATTCCACACGACCTGTTTGTATACAAAACCTCTGTACTCCAGGAAACAGCAGGGGTTGTGTCATGGGAAATGTCCCTCTTCGTTTTGAATCAACCACTCAAGGCGTTCTTTCTTTCTCTCTTGTTTTATTAGAGACATCCTGTTCCTGCTCTTTTCTGGGCCTTCAGGGACTGGAGTCTGTACTGGGCCTAGACCTGACCTCTGTTTAGCTCAGAGAACCGATATCTTAGTCACGGCTTAAGTTGGAGGTCAAAGCAGGACGGTTTTGATGTGTACGCATACCTCAGGCAGCTGTGCCATCAGGGGGACCTTTGTTCTGCTGACAGGCAGAAACATATCTAAGCTATTTATTGGAGATGTGTTCCACTTTGTTTGATAACATACACAAGAAAATTTAGACTTTGGAGCAGATCTTATCAGGGCAGGTTTGCTGGGTCAAATTCCTGTCCAGACTGAGAAAATACAGCTGGAGGCAGCAGACGGTTATGGTTGTACTGGGTAGCTGAATGTGAAACACAGAAGGACTCTAAACATTACATGAAAAAATATAAACATATATATAAAATAGGAATTCCTTAACTATTGGGTTGATGTTTTGAAACTAAACGGCACCACACATTCCAGTACTATACCTTTTCCTTGACTCTAGCTCCAGGTGCAGCAGGCGGGTAATGCCAGACGCACCATGCATCAGTACCTCACATGTAATGTGCTGAAAACAAGTGATGGGTGGTGTGTCGGGGCATGGCACATGACTCAACCTTGCTGGTATTTACCCTGTGTCATGTAAAAAGAGTTCATGGTAGTGAATGCAGACATGCTTTAGCCCTATCACTCTCACTCAGCACAGTTCTCAGTTCTTATGCCTGTATATACTTCCTCTTTTCTACATCTCAGTGCCCCTCAGCCTCTCTCCTTTTGTCAAAATCATTTCTAAATGATGCTTTTCTGTGCACATTCTTGCCTTCCCATAGATACTGATG